TACTTCATTCATAATATTTGTTTCTTGATTTCCGTTTGCTGAAAATTATTACAACGATATCTACTTCATTTATATGCTGTTTTATTAAAAACAAGGATGAAATTAAATGTAACATCCTGTATATTATTCAATTTTTGGATTCTTTAGAAAATTCTAGACCTATTTCTTGTACATGATGGTATAATCTTACTGCATTGTTACTATTTTTTCTGGATTCGAAAAACACTTGGATATTCATCTTGGGTATAAATATTATTTGCCATAATTATTCTGATAATAAATTAATCAATTGGTACTAATTAGTGGTTGACAGAAAGTGTCAATTTATTAACATGATAAATAACAATTTATTTGTTATGACGTCCGCCTACTTTATTTTCACAAATTTTCGCAATTACCCCTTTAGTGAACGATGACGCATCTAATTTTTTTACTAGAAAACTATCGGTTTTATCGAAAAATTACAAGAGGTAAAAAAGTTGCGCAATAAATCAATCTTCCCAATAAATATTTTTAAATAAATAATTTGCCTCATATAAAAAATTTCTAATAAAATATTGCAGTGGAGTTGACTTATTCACTCCTTTATAAAATACGCCAATGGTTGAACAAATATTGAAAAGTTCTCGCTTTATTAATAGGATGCTCATACCAAGATTCGTGTCTCTAGCGTTCCTCATTAAAATGTGAATTTCATCCCCTGCTTTAATTAATAGGGTCTATCGCCTCAGGGGTGCAACTTTCATATAAGGTATTTTTACTTTAATCCTGTTATTTTTGACTCTACATTCATTGGTACCATTTTTACTACTTCATTTAAAAACACCCTGTATAAAAACAGACATGCGTGTATATAAAAGATAAACTGAGGAAAATCTAGTAGTTCTGTTCACAGAAATCGATAAGCATTTCTACGTTGCCGAGTAGAGATGTCTCTTCTCAAATCTATGGAATTATTCCTTTATTTATTTCAACATAATCATCGTGTATATATAGAATTATCAACTTTTGTTGACCCTTATGTCGCTCAGTCGTTGTTGCGCGCTACAAAACAATGTTACTAACATGTGTGCTGGTTTCTTTTATCTGTTTAATAGTGAGAGCCGAATTTGAAGCTGGTAAGAAAAAATCCTTTTAATCTATTGATTTTTTTACAAACTCTAAAAGATGTCATACAGAAATTGTAATAGTAGTGTGGGCCAGCAGGACGCTGCCGGGCGTACCAGCGTTCCAGGAAGGGTCTACGGCGGACTACTGGCGCCGGCAACCAGATGCGTACTCATATAAAAAAAATCCCCACCATCTATACAAATAATTTCTTACGTAACTTTTCGGATTTATTTATTTATACTTATATTTACTATTTAGGGAGCTGCTTATTTATCTTTCTTCACCAAAACTGCATTTTCTTAGGCTATTATTGGCTGGACTACAGCGGAGGTCCTATATCCGAAAACTGTTTAAAATTAGACGTTAACAGCGATGTCTACGTAGGGCAGGTGTACAAAAAACCATACGAATTGCTTCCTGCATCAGTTCGTATCCAATCACCACTTGCTACAGGGAATGCTTACGATGTCACTTACACGAGCAACAAATATGTTAAGGTAAGTTGGCCATTTTTCTGAAAATGAAATTAATTAAGATAAGCATTTCTTCTTATACATAGACGTCCTTTTTTAGATTGTTTGCAGTCAGTTCCCAGAAAACTTCAAGTGGGTAAGGACGAACTTCTCAAAGTACCTTTCAGTTCCAAATCTGGTGNTTTTTTTCAACCCTCGGTCGGAGGTGAAAAAAAGATAAAATATAGGGGTTTTTCAAGATAACTCAAAAGGGGTAGGAGCTAGAAATAAAAAATTCTTATAAAAGTTGTAGAGCACAAAATTCTACATAAAAATGGTCTATTGACTTTTCTTGTACTATTAAAATTAACAGAGTTAAGGTGGCTAGAAGTTAAGGGATGATTTCAGAAAAATGATTGAATTTTATATATTTTTTTCAATCTACTCAAAAAAATGTAAACTTTCCTTTCAGAGAAATTGGTATATGTATTTTTTTATTTTTAATAAGAAAGCTATAACAATTTCAATTTTTTAGTCGTTAATTTTTATGATTTAACACTAAAACATTGATTTTTCTATGCCATTAGATTGATTATTTAAAATAATGAAAAGTTGCTTTAGAAATTTTGTTTTACGATAAAGAAAAAAAATACGTTCGCTTTGTGAAATTGTTATAACTTTTTATTAAAAATTAAAAAATATATCTATTTCTCTGAAAATACAGCTTACATTTTTTAGAGTAGATTGAAAAAAAATTGTATAATTCATTTATTTTTCTGCTTGCTCTAATTTTTTAAATTTCTGAAATCGTCTCTAACTCTATTAATTTTAATAGTACAATAAAAAGTCAATAGACCAATTTTATGTAGAATTTTATGCTCTACACCTATTATGACTTTTTTTTCTAGCTCTTAGCCCTTTTGAGTTATCTTAAAAATCCCCCTTTATTTTATCTTTTTCACCCCTGTCCGGGGGTTGAAAGAAAAATACTG